ACAATGAAGGGGACTATTTGCGCTCCCATCGAAGCAAAAGACAGGGAGCTGTTAATTGAACGGATATTGTACATAAAGTTATCGGAATAAATATTGTTATTAGTCATAAGCTGTTCAAGTAATAATGCAGTTTGAATCCGTTCTAATGTAAATTTTCCTTTTGAGCAGCATTTAGAAAACATTTTATCACCAGGTCTTTCTCCGACAAAGTGTTTAGCACCACAGAATTCACACACTTCACTAAGCCTACCACATGAGTCTAACTTTATTTCACTTTCATCGTTTATATCTTTTAAGGCTTCAGGCACAAAAGTGATAGGTAGCTGTAAACTATTATTTACATCACTATTATTTCCCCCTCCTATTCTTGTGTGATGAGCTGTTGATTCACGTCTGCCAGAACATGTTTTCCTTTTTCTATTCTTTGCTGGACGTCCTTGTTTGCAGGTTGAGGAAGCTGCATCATCTTCGAGTAAAGTGTTAGTCACATTATCTTGTTTTGTTTCATCTTCTGTGTCTCCATAACATTTTTTTCTTTTTCCATTCTCCGCTGGACCTGTGTGATGAGCTGCTGATTCACGTCTGCCAGAACATGTTTTTCTTTTTCTATTCTTTCCTGGACGTCCTCGTTTGCAGGTTGAGGAAGTTGCATCATCTCTGAGTGAAGTGTTGGTCAGACTATCTTGTTCTGTTTCTTTTTCATTTTCTGGGTCTCCATCCTTTTGATTGCTTGATAAACACTTTTTTACCCCTTGGAGTAAATCTTTATCCATACTATAATTTGGTTTCTTCAATTTATTTTTATGACCTGTTGATTCACGTCTGCCAGAACATGTTTTACTTTTTCTATTTTTTGATGCACGGCCACGTTTTGATATAGGTAAGATTACATCCTCTTGATTCTCAGGCATACTATTGTCTATCAAAACATCGTAACGCCCAGCATCCACATTTCCTGAGAATCGTAGTTTATAGATCGTTGTGCCTTCACCAACCGTTACAAAATAATCCAATTTCTCAGCATATATTTTGAATTGGCAGTCAAAAACTCTTGCTGCAGCTTCGATTTCGACATTACCGGCGTATTCCCCATCTTTGGTCATCATATTTCTGTATTCCGTCGCGTTTTTTACTTCTAGTCTATATGTCTTATCCCCTACGATAAAAGGACAATAGTAGTCCCAGTTATTGACGACTTCATCAACTACTGTGGATCGTATATCACTGTATCTGGATTGAGATTTATGGCATAAAAATGAGACACTTCTAAAGAAACAGTTTCCATCACCAACCATGTAGTGAAGAGTAAAGTTATTCATTTTTCAACTAATGTAAAATATTGAGTTTATAATTAACAGTTCAAAATAACGAATATTAAATACTATTTTAAACTGTGAATTATAAATTAAATTTGAATAATTTATAATTGACAGTTTAAAATAATAATTTTTTGTTATGAAATACATACATCACTTAACTTACCAATACTTATTAATGGTACAGATTAAAAACATCACTTTAGAAACACACTTTACGGACCTCAACCACCAATTCAAATAGTAAACAACTAAATGTAAACAAAGAAAAATCAAGGAAATAACAATCAGCTGTTAAACTATAGGTTAATACACGTGTTCCATATGATTAGATGATGCATACTGGCTAACCCATTATTACTACCATAAACATTTTTAGATTATTCATACCGGCAAACGTATTACTACCATAAATAAAAAAACTCAAACTTTACTAATTATTTGAAAATCTACACAGATTTTATTGACCTATTAATTAATAAAATTGGTAAGATTTAGTTGTAAAAAGTTAACAAAAATCTCTCCAATTCAATATTTTCTCACCACAATAAATTAGGAGGTTGCTAAGCTTTTTTTGCAAATAACTCTTAAACTGTGAGGAAATCGACCAAAGTGGAAGGTGATATTCTGAAAGAGAATAAAATTTGCTACAAAGTACTCTTAGGTGTTTTTTGAAAAATATTCAAAAAAGGCAACCTAAGGTTAACTATAAATAGAAATTTTAAAATATAAACTATAAAAAAACTGTTTTTAATGTATTTTTGCTTTTTATTCTTTATTCACCACAAATATTTAATAAAATCAAACTTTCATAATTATTTGCAAATCTACACAAATTAGGCTTTCCAAAGATACATTAGTTAACAAAATCGGTCCAGTAGAAGTCTAGATTTAGTTGTACAAAGTTTAACAAAAATATCCCTAATTCAGTATTTTTAACAACTAAAAATTTGGAGGTCACTTATCTAATTTGACAATAACTTTTAAATGGTGAGTAAATCGTAGAAAATGCACGTGATATTCTGAAAGAAGATAAAATTTCCTACAAATACCTTCTGTGTATTTCTTGAAATTATTTAATAAAGGCAGCCAAAAGCTGACTACAAATATAAACTTGAAAATAAAAACCTGAAAAAACAGTTTTTAATGTATTTTTGTTATTTTGATTTTTCCACCACAAATATTAAATAAAATCAAACTTTCATAATTATTTGCAAATCTACATGAGTAAGGCTTTCCAATGACTCATTAATTAACAAAATCGGTCCGGTAGAAGTCTAGATTTAGTTGTACAAAGTTTAACAAAAATATCCTAAACTCAATATTTTCTCATTATTATAAATTCGGAGGTTGCTTAGCTTTTTTGCAAATAACTTTTGAATGGTGATGAAATCGACCAAAGTGGAAGGTGATATTCTGAAAGAGAATACAATTTCCTACAAATTGATACCATACACTTCTTGGAAACACTAAAAAAAGGCAGCTAAAAGTCGCACCGAAAAAAAAAGTGTGAAAAACACCGTTTTCAATGTATTTCTTATGGAAAACATGTTTTTTTGAAATTTTTCACCATAAATCATAATAAAAACAAACTTTCATAATTATTTGCAAATCTACACGACCTTAGCTTTCCAACGACCCATTAATTAATAAAATCGGTCCAGTAGAACTCTAGATTTAGTTGTACAAAGATTTTTAAAACTGAATTATATATAGAATAGATTAGTAGCTTAATTTGAAATTTATAAATTTGACAAGTTTCATCAATATATATTAATAAACAATTTAACTACTACAGTTTAAGTATTCTCCGTAAGAATACGTGGGAATGGTCACCATTGATGAACTCAAAACAAAACACTCAGATTTGAGAAATAAGTATTTGTTTCTTTTGGTTAATTTAATTCACATGTTTCAGCTGATCGAATAACGTAAATAAACATATTAAGTTTAAATTACTTGCAGAATCTAAATATATAAAAGGCAAAGCCCTCACTGACTGACTGACTCACTCATCACTAATTCTCCCACTTCCCTTTTACCTAGGAGGCTGAAATTCGGTACACCGATTCTTTGGGCATTAAATAGGAAAACTAAGTAGTTTTTATTCTGATCGGGCTTTCGGGCTCCGCCCCAGTGGCTCTGGAGTTTCCCATGTTAACCTTATGATTTTTCATATTTCAAAGGAATTTCTTAACAGCTGTTTCAATTAAACAAGTTGGTTATGTTCTATGATGTGCAATAGCATTAAAGTTACAAGGATTACCAACAGGGTGCAGCACTATTATTTCTTTTACATTTATGACAACAGCTAATTTGCAACCAAAAGGTGAGTGAGTGTAGCGAACGAACTTCAACCTGGAGGCGAGTTAGCGTAGCGAACGAGCTAACCTGAAGGCAAGTGAGCGCAGCGAATGAGCTCCAACCTAAAAGTGAGTGAGCGTAGCGAACGAACTTCAACCAGGACGTGATTGAGCCATGCGAACGAGCTCACTTATGAAGTAAAACGGGGCAAAGCCCGCAGGTACAACTAGTGATATAATACAGGGTGGGGCAATGAAAGCGCCCAATTTATAAGTACAGTGTAGTACAAACTCAATAATATTCACCCTATGGATATAAATAGCACATAAAAACACAGCTTATCTTTTGCCATTTTAACTTAACAAAAGTTGTTTTTCCATTTTCTTGAATACAAAATCCTGCAATTTGACGTCCTTACTTGACATTCCTTTTTAGTCACTTGAAAACTCCATCAAATACTCCTCCAGCATTTCTTCAGGAATCACTTTAGTTTTTGGACAATTCTTAGCTTCGGTTCAAGCAAATCCGTGGGGTGACTTCAAGTACCTAGCTTATAAGAATACCCCCCCCCCCCCCAAAAGGAGCCAACGTAAAGCTTTCAACAACAAAATCTTCCTGGCAAATCTCTTTGGACTTTGAGTTACTGCGACTTACACTCTTTCTACATTTGCTGGTGTACAAAGAGTTTTACGGTACCCACCAATTGTATAGGTTATTTTTATTATTTTTAATGGTTTAAGCGTCCATCCTAAATAATTTTACCCAATGGATTTCCAATCTGGAACAGCCCCATGTTGACCAAGGATGGAATGTGGTCCAAACAATCTCTGGGTTTTCGCACAAGAATCACTATTTTAAAAATAGGTTTCCACATCAAAATCTCAGTGTTAATAGCCTCAGGTATAATATTTACTAAAATGGCATAGTTTAATTGATGTTATAAGCACAGCTATTCATTAATTAATTGTTGCTTTACTTATAGTGTGACAACAAAAGAAAATTGGGGTGCTCTCACTGCCTCACCCTGTAGATTGATTTTACGAAAACCTATTGGAAAATGAGTGATTTGTATACTTCCCTAGTGTAGTTGGTAAAAAAAGCTTTAAAATTATACCTCATTTATGAAAATTAGTGAAGAATTAAGGAAGTTATGATGTACCGACAAAAAAAAAACACTTTAGAAACTAAAATATGTAGATGTTTACAAATTTACTAATACTGTTTTATGGACTATAATTAGGTACTACCTACTGTGAATATGTGAAAAATTATTCAATCTCATACCATTCTACAGTCATCCTTCACACATATTTGGGTTAAAATATGCACTTAGTTCCCATCTCAATGATTGATAATTGATAGATAATTACCAAGACTCACCATAAACAAAGGAGTTTGGACAAGCCTCACGATTCTCCTAGCTGGCCGGTTCCGCAGACAGTTGACCATCTCCTGACTACTGGTGGTCGGACATCCAAGGGCCGAGGCGAGGGTGTGAGCCCTCAAAGTTACTTGTTCTGTCTGTGTCCAAGGGCAGAGTGCTGAGCCACTCATGGACACTCCCTTGTGGAACAGACCTGGACGTAGGAGAGAACATGCATTATTGGTTACTATACAAAAACCAGTAGTGGCATATAATCTTACGGCGGTTTGAACAAATGGCATACACTTTATTTTGGCTCACAGAATAACAAGCAAGAGCTTTGCTGTATACATTGGATGTCTATATAGCCTACTGCAGCATCTACAATGTTACTATGAGAGCACATACAGTTGTTCCTGCTGCTCTTATGTACCGTTTCCATCCTGTGTAGTGTAGAATACTATGCAAAATAATAGGGTGAGGCAGAGTATATACTGTAGGCGAGAGTTAAGATATCCCCTGAGCCCTGGCCTATTCTAAAAATGCAGGCGCTTTGCTACTGGACGGCTCGACACATGCTCATGTTCCACGCGGCAGCCAGGGCTCACATCCCCGTGCTGAAAGAGGGTGGTGCACCTGCAAATACCGCACGGCAACATTCCAACATTGCTGCATTCGCTCTGGCTCAGAGGACTTCTTAACTCTCGCCTACAGTAAGGGTAGGTTGTGATTTTTTTTAGCCACATACCTCAGAAAAGTGCTGAATTGTAAGACCAAAACGGGGTAAAAATATAAAAAATTTCGGTTGTTTTCTTCCGGTCAATCATGTGCTCTAAAGTTTGAAGAAAATATGAAAACTCAATTTGGCAATTTTCATAATTTTGTAATTTAATATTTTCAATATAAAATGTCATCTAAAAGACACTAGGAATTGATATTTAAATATGTCATTGGCTGCAAATTTTGCAAAAAATCTAGAATAATCTTACATACTAAAACACTTCTGCAAAACTTATGACAGCTAGCCTGACCATACCACTGGACCGAATTACACGTGGTTGGTACCAAATGAAAGATATTTACCTGTAGATGAGCAGAATCTATTCTATATATAATTCAGTTTTAAAAATCTTTGTACAACTAAATCTAGAGTTCTACTGGACCGATTTGATTAATTAATGGGTCGTTGGAAAGCTTAAGTTGTGTAGATTTGCAAATATTTATGAAAGTTTGTTTTTATTATGATTTATGGTGATAAATTAAAGAAAACGTGTTTTCCATAAGAAATACATTGAAAACGGTGTTTTTCACACTTTTTATTTGGGCGCGACTTTTAGCTGCCATTTTTTAATATTTCCAAGAAGTGCATGGTATCAATTTGTAGGAAATTTTATTCTCTTTCAGAATATCACCTTCCACTTTGGTCGATTTCCTAACCATTTAAAAGTTATTTGTAAAAAAGCTAAGCAACCTCCGAATTTATAGTAATGAGAAAATATTAAGTTTGGGATATTTTTGTTAAACTTTGTACAACTAAATCTAGACTTCTACCAGACCGATTTTGTTAATTAATGGGTCATTAGAAAGCCTAACCCATGTAGATTTGCAAATAATTATAAAATTGTGATTTTAATAAATATTTGGGGTGAAAAATTAAAAATAACAAAAATACATTAAAAACTGGGTTTGTCAAGTTTCTGTTTTCAAGATTCTATTTGTAGCCAGCTTTTGGCTGAATTTATTAAGTATTTTCAAGAATTGCATATTTGTAGTAAATTTTATTCTCTTTCAGAATATCACATTCCCTTTGGTCGATTTTCCCTCCATTTAAAAGATATTGAAAATAATCTAAGTGATCTCCAAATTTATAGTGGTGAGAAAATACTGAATTAGATATATTTTTGCTTAACTTTGTACAACCATAGACAAAAAGAATTAAATATTAAATTTCATTCTTTTTGTCTATGGTACAACTAAATCTAGACTTCTACCGGACCGATTTTGTTGGGTCGTTGGAAAGCCTAATTTGTGTAGATTTGCAAATAATTATGAAAGTTTGATTTTATTAGATATTTAAGGTAAAAAAAAAATTAAAATAATACATTTAAAACTCCTTTTATTCCAGGTTTATATTTTCAATTTTATATTTGTAGAAAACTTTAGGCTGCCTTTATTGAGTATTTTCAAGAAATTCATAATAGTAATTTGTAGGAAATTTTATTCTCTTTCAGAATATCACCTTCCACTTTGGTCGATTTCCTTGCCGTTTCAAAGTTATTTGCAAAAACCTCCAAATTTATAGTAGTGAGAAAATACTGAATTAAAGATGTTGTGTTCAAACTTTGTACAATTAAATCTACAGTTCTACTGAACCGATTTTATTAATTAATAGGTCATTGGATAGCCTAATTTGTGAAGATTTGCAAATAATTATGAAAGTACTGTTGAGGTTGCAAAGCAAGATCGTTTGGCTATAAATCGATGATAAATAACTCCATTTTTTTTAACAATTTGTGTTGATCGTGATTTAGCAGTACGTCCGATCTTAATAATCAATAATTCAAAGGGAAGCTGGTATTTCACTGAAGGCTCTTAGGTCAAAACAAATAGAATAACGTAATTATAATTGAGTAAATATATCTAAAACTTCATTCAATATCCAGGATATAATTAAATTTATGTTTTCTGATTGAGCGATACAGTATCTTGAACTTAACTGATTAAAACTATCAATATCTCAAGTGAAAGCCTTTGAAGTATTTTAAGACCAAGACATATAAAATAACTTAAATAAAAATAGAGTTACGTATCATTGATTGCAGATAGGTACTAAAACGATTGTATTTATTGTTGATTCGTGATTCAGCAGTGTGCTTTAGGTAGTCCGATCTTAATAATCAATAGCTCAAATGAAAGCTGGTATTTTACTTAAGGTTTTTAGACCAAAATGTATAATGTAATTAGAACTGCTGGAATACATCTTTAATTGAAGAGAAAAAATTCTTTCGTCGAGTAATACATTAGATAAATTAATGATGATGCTTGATGACAAATATGTGCTTGCATAGCTTTATTTTGACCAAAATTATAAAAATCGGGCAGGTAGAAGAGCCCTCCTGTAAACCATCACCCGCCTGCGAAACATTGAACTCGAAAAAACCAAATTTAACTCCCATAAGAAATGTACAGGGAGGCAGTTTGTGCATAACTCGAAATATACGTCAAAATAAATGCCGATGCTTGATGGCAAATCTGCGGTACTTCCATACCTTTAGTTTAAGGCCAAAATTATGAAAATCGGTCGGGTAGAAGAGCTAACCCGACTCGGAAAAGAAAAACCAATTATTTTTATAGATGGAAATAATTGGTTTACCAGTATGCATAATCTAATCATACGAAACATGTGTTAATAATTCAACAGCTTATTGTTATATTGTTATCTAATTAATTTTTCTTTGATTAAATGTTGTTGTTAACAATTTGCATTTATGTTTAAAGCTGGGTTTTCCTAGGCACGGAGTCGGCGAGCGGAGAGAGGAACACGGAGAGCGGAATTGAAATTAACATGGCATTATGCTCCGCTTCTAGGAAAACAGTAACATTAAATTGCCTACCCTAGTAGCACAAATATATATTAAATACATATGAATAAATGTATTTAAAATCTATTTTATATATCTCAAGTGTGTATTAATGTCAATTTTATATAATACTAGCTGACCCGGCGAACTTCGTATCGCCTAAGTTATAGGTTTCCCCTAAGACAGACCGATGGAAAGAAAGTACCGTTACGTTTAATTTTCAAGATGATCTCGTTCGCATCGCTCAATCACGTCCTGGTTGAAGTTCGTTCGCTACGCTCACTCACCTTTGGGTTGGAACTCGTTCGCTACGCTCACTCACCTTTAGGTTGGAGCTCGTTCGCTGCGCTCACTTGCCTTCAGGTTAGCTCGTTCGCTACGCTCACTCGCCTCCAGGTTGAAGTTCGTTCGCTACGCTCACTCACCTTTTGGTTGCAAATTAGCTGTTGTCATAAATGTAAAATAAATTATAGTGCTGCACCCTGTTGGTAATCCTTGTAACTTTAATGCTATTGAACATCATAGAACAGAACCAACTTGTTTAATTGAAACAGCTGTTAAGATTCATTAATTCCATTTCTCATAAGGTTAACATGGGAAACTCCAGAGCCACTGGGGCGGAGCCCTTTTAAGGATTTCGAAACGGGAAATAGTTTACGTCCGATTCGCATACATACAGAATTTACACACCAAATTTCATAACGATCGGTGAAGTCGTTCCGGAGGAGTTTGCAGACAAACACTGTGACACGAGAATTTTATAGATTAGATTTAAAATATATTAAATATATAAAAAATATGTTTTTGAATCTATTAAATATTTAAAAAATATGTTCCAATAATATATTTTAGTGAATAATATTTAAATAAAAAATGTATTTAATATCTCTTCCAAACATCCCATGGGGCCTAAACATAAAAACACAAAATAATAAAGATTTAGTATGAAAAACACAATTATCAGTTGACTAAATTGATTAAATAGTTCATAAAAACAAATTTTGAAAAAATTACTGGATAAAAAAATTTTTCAGCCCGGGTGGGTCTCGAACCTGGGTCCTTCGACTTATGAGCCTCCTGCCTTACCTCTGAGCTACTTGTGACTGTTGTTAGCATTAGTTTTCAAATGGTGAAAGAGTGGCCCTCAGTTGCAATGGTTGCAATACTTGAAATATTTTTGATACTACATTATAATATGATTCTGTTAATATGTTTTGGCATCAAGTAGTTGAGTTGAATAGTGCTGTAGTGAATAGTGAGTAGTCTCCACGAATACAAATACAGTAAACTACAAAAATTAATTTAAATACTATGACAAATATTATGTAATTTATGGCATATGTAAATCAAATAATTATTTTTAGAACGTCATATACAACCGTAATTAGTTTCTTAAAAGGTCGCCAGTCACTAGCACCCTTTTCTAGCCAATCATTCGAGATTTCTATGATCACATTCATTGTCACATATTGCAATTAAAAAAATAAAACCCATCAACACTTTTTTTCGTTTGACCCAAATGTAGCTGTCGAACATGTATACTGCCTCTTAATTATATGCTATTTTTTTCTTTACGTGTATGATAGAGTGACACCATTCAGAGTACGTATTATTATTAACTTAATTTTAACGC